CAAAATTCAAATTTTAACGATTTCTTTGCTTGGGCGAATTTTAAATTTAAATTTGAAATTGATGGGCAGCACTGTTTTAGCCCGGTCAGCGGTCATTTGGTCACACTTTACATTGGAAACTATCGCCAATATCGCATCTCTAATTTCCGTGCTCAGCACTAAGAAATCGATTTTCTCGAGCGCCACAGCGGCCAACCCGGGAACTAAATGGTCGGAATCGATATCCCCAAACTCATCGGCGCACATCGCCGAATCATCGAGTTTACTTCCATCCCCATTCCGATTTTCAAATTCAAACGGCAGCTTGGCCTCGCTTCGTGTGCAAAAACTGATCAGGTTTTCGGAGAATTGACAATCCCGCACTCGACTTGTAAATTGTAAACCATTAGTAATCAAATATTCGGACAACAAATTGCACAGCTAAACAAGCGTTCGGTCACAGAAACACGATCTGAAGTCAACTAAACTAAGCTAAAGCCAAGCGTCTGCCGATCTTCGTGTTAATTGTGTTTGTAAAAATAGTATCAAGGAAGCAATCAAAATGGTGGGCACAACACTGAAAATGCGTAGCGATGAGGTGAGTTGATCCCTAGAACATTAAGATACCCGTGGCATCCGCGAAAAGGTCATGGTAAAGTCACAAACCAGCGGCCTCCTCATCATCGAGACGCCATTGCAGCGTGGGCAAGTACAGTGGGGCAAAGAGGAAGCGGCGATAGAGCGAAGAGTGTATAAAGGGAGGGGGTGAGAGAGTGCCGTTTGTCCTTGTTGTTGCAGTTGCCTTGTTCACATTTTGGCGCGATTTTCTACTTGTACCGCTAATTAGTACTCTTCACTCCCTTTCTTCGCACAAAATCACAGAGGAGATAAATCGAGGATAAGTCTTGCGGTTCTTTTCCTAAAATGGCCGCCTTCAAAGGCGCATTTCATTATTATAAGTCATTATTATACAAGAAACGCATATACATGCACAACTATTAAACAATTGAAATCAGTGCTCAATAATTAAATATGTTAAGAAAAGTGCACATATTGTGGTGGTATCTAAATCTGATCGTATTTTTTCTTTAGAACGCCTCGGAGAACTTCAAGCAAGTGCAATTGAAGAAATTGACGGTTCCTTCCATGGAGGCAACAACAAAACGTGCGGCCCTGGGCGATTTGCAGAATCGCGGCATAAGTCGTCCCATCGCCGCGAAGGATGCTGCACAGAAAGAGTAAGTGTCTGAGCCAACTCAAGTATTCCATTCGCAATCACATGTGGTTACTCCACCGAGCAGCTCCAAGGATCTCAAGCTCACAGACGCCCTGCGGAATGCCAAGGCTCGGGTGGACACCCACTGGAAGAAGCAGCCACTGGGCAGCAACACCCATGGCAATGCCGCCGCTCCGCCCAAGGCCAACGAAGGGGGCGTGGCGGCGTTTTTGCGCTCGAATTCGGTGCGCAATCGCGTTCCGACCAAGGCCACTGTAGAACCAGCTAAAGGTAATTTAAGCACCTACCATTCCTACATTTTAAATTGTCTGCTTATTCATACTGATCTAATATCTTGTATACCCAAAGTGACAGTCAAGTCAAGTTCCACCGAGAACGTGAACGAGCCCACCTTGAAGCGGGAGGACAGCAGTCTGTCGAAGAAATCGCTGACCAAACTGCGTGCCGCTTTGGCCAAACCCGTGATGGGAGTTTCAGGAATTCGACGGGAACCAGTAGCTGTTGCCCGTAAAGAGGCAGAGACCAAAAAGGAACTGCAGGAAATCAAGAAGGACTCACTGGACTTGAAGAAGGATGCGACCAGGATGCCCCTTATTAGGGGCAACAGTGCAGTCACTACAACCACATCCACCATGCCCACCACCATGTCCCTTTCCAGCAAGCGCTTGGCTGGAATCGAGGACATCGACGCCAATGACAAGGAGAACCTGGTGCTGGTCTCCGAATACGTGAACGACATCTACGACTATTTGTACCAGGTGGAGCAGCAGCAGCCCATTCACAAGGATCACCTGGCCGGGCAGAAGGAGGTGTCCCACAAGATGCGAGCCGTGCTGATCGATTGGATCAACGAGGTCCACCTGCAGTTCCATCTGGCTGCAGAGACCTTCCAGCTGGCGGTGGCTATCATTGATCGTTACCTGCAGGTGGTCAAGGACACCAAACGCACGTACTTGCAATTGGTGGGAGTGACAGCCCTCTTCATAGCCACCAAGTACGAGGAGCTGTTCCCGCCGGCAATCGGTGATTTTGTCTTCATCACGGATGACACCTACACTGCCCGGCAGATCCGACAGATGGAGCTGCAGATCTTCAAGGCCATCGACTGTAATCTTTCGCGTCCGCTGCCGATTCACTTCCTCCGACGCTACTCGAAGGCTGCTGGCGCCGAGGACGAGCACCATACGATGTCCAAGTACTTCATTGAGCTAGCTTCCGTGGACTACGAAATGGCCACTTACAGACCATCGGAGGTTGGTTTCAACACACTATCCCCCCATCTATTTAGTATAAGAATCTCTAATATTGTTCGGCGTCTTTAGATTGCAGCTGCCTCACTGTTCCTGTCGCTGCACTTGCTCAATGGAAACTACCGGGCCGGCACGGGATTCAACGACCGTCACTGGTCGCCCACTCTGACCTTCTACTCGCGGTACTCGGCCGCACACTTGCGTCCCATTACCCGACTGATTGCGAAACTGGCCCGGGACGCTCCTCTGGCCAAGCTGAAGGCTATCTACAACAAGTACCAGGGCAGCAAGTTCCAGAAGATCGCGCTGCGAACGGAGCTGTCGGGTGCGCTGATGGACTCCATTGTGGGCCAGAGCCAGAAGAAATAGTCTGGGCCGAGGTGGACTGGATGACCCTGATTTACCTAGTTTAGTTTAATTTGTTTTCATTTTTTAAATTTGTAGCGTATTTCATTTTCTGTTCGTTTCGTGTTCGTTACAAAATGCGTATAAACACCGTAGTCGCATTGCCAACTATATTCACCTGCATCACCTCACCCATCCCCCAGACATTGTAATCTGCTGGAGTCCCTTGAGCAGTTTTCGGCCACTGCCAAGTGCTGGCTCCGGCATCTTTGCCCCCGGAGCACAAGTTGCTCGCGAGCCGGCGGCTGGAAGTGAGTAGTGGGTTCCTCCGGAAAGACTAGGAACCAAACCAAACTGGAGCCCGCCAGCTCCACCCGCTGGGTCACCGTCTCAGCGGGAGCGAGCGGCGGAGCGGTGGACACCGAGAGAGAGTGGGCAACGAGTTCATTTGCTGGCCGAACACATCGGCGTTGTCTCTCCAAGAACTATATTTTATAATTGTACCCGTGAATTCATTTCATCCCCTACCTACCCGCTAATTGTATTTGTCTTTAGTTTTTAGTTTCGATGGGAATGAATAAATCCAAAAACTTGTGCAAAATTATTCCCAAAAATCGCATAAAGAGACCTAGACTATTTGTAATTTATATCATGCATTTCGCACATCTATACAAAGGCAACCTATGCTAGTTATATTGTTTACTTACCGATAAGCAACGATTTAAAAGCGTTTTAACTGATGTTTCCGAAAATGTCTCAAGAATACATAGAAAATAAAGTTTTGTGTAATTTTATAAACAATGTGTGTGTGTTTACTGTGCACGCAATGCCATGTGACTTGATTGGTTTTAAAATCTTCCCGACAGCTGATGAGTGTGAGAAATTTTCCGCACCCCTGATGCAAACCAGACAGGCTGAGATGAGCGCAGACCCTTTTCCAAGGACGGAGGTCCTTTTGTCCTGCCTTCCCAGCAATCCTGAATACACACGATGTGCACCTCTGCATACCCTACACCTATGTGCGCACTATGTACATAGGTATGTATGTGCGTACAGACGATAGTCGGCGCCCCTGGGAAGGTCACCTCCCCGATCGCAGGTCAGTTGCTCCTCTTCCGCTTCTCCCTTTCCTTCTTCCCGCTTTCACGCTTCTCTCCTCTTTCGGTGCCGCGCTCCATGGGCAACGGTAATTGCCGAGCACATTGCTCGCACATGGTTGTGTGTGTGTGTGGGTGTCTATCTCACGTTTCCCTTGCACAGTAGTCACTCGGTACAGAGAAGCGCGAATGCAAAGCAAAAAAGTTATACAAAATCCCATAATCGTGCAATGTTTCAGATAGTTTAGTTTTTTAGAAGCATGTCAGCAATGTATCAGAATTCAAAGAAATATTTTTAAGTAGCTATCTTCAGATGGTAAGGGCATTAAATAAATATAGTTCTCACTTCCCCAAAGTACTTCAGTAGGTACGAGTTTGTACTTTCGTTCGCCCTTCAGAGCGCCCACTGTACACGGCCTGCTGACTTTGCTGTGCGCCTGTTCGAAATTTAAGTTTGACGGTTTTATGACTCTCATTAATTCTGTTTACGGTCAAACAAATGTAGTAAAAAGAAAGTCATTTTTCTCGGCACCCCCGCTGCTCCTGCCTTTTGGCATATTTTATGTTGGCTGCCAGTGGCAATCGGCGTCATAAAAACTCCATGCCGTTTAAATCTGGCTTACAGTTTTTGGGTCTTGGGCCGCTGTGTTTACTCTCCTCTTTTTGGGAACTTCTTGCTCTCGCTTCTGGATGGCTGTTACCGAAATATGCACAGCATGAACCACTCCGAACCACCGAGCTCGAGTTCCTTCCTGAATCCTGCGCCTTGGAGCAGCCAGTCTGTCGTTCAGGTAGTTCAAGGGGTGGCTAATGCGGACGGGGGTCAGGAGGTTACGGTTACGCAAAAGGACATCTGCTCGTCGTCAGGACAGGACCGGGATTAGCTAGGGAAATCCATTTCGGTAGGATTTTAAGGAACCTAGTCTAAGACCCAAAGGTTCCAAGCAAACATACATACATAGGCAGAAACAAGAAAATGTATCTAGAATTAAACCAAAATTGGGAATCGAAATCGTAGCGCAAAACTAAAGAAATATCTAACTTCGACTTATCAGTGTTTAATTCCCAGCAAAGAAGAAGGAGCAGGACTCATTTAGAGTATAATTTAGTATCGTGTTTAATTCATCATCGTTTCACAATCATCCTCAGACATTATTTCGACTATTCTCGATTACAATATTTCAAATATTGAGTACACATTTAAGGTAGAAGAACAACGGGGGATTATCTATCGTTTTGGAGGTTGGAGGAACCGCACGGATATTTCGCTGAAACTCGAAACCGCATCCGGCCGGGATACGCCGTCCATTCCGTGGCCAGGGCCTGCTCTCTCTCTCCCAAGATTTTGCGGCATGATGACACCGGACCACGGATTGGAGGCGATCCCGGCTGGATGCGCAAGAAAACATGAATGTGCAAAGGAGTTTTCTCTTGTTTTTGTTTTATAATTTCTGTTTATCTTAAGTTGTAGGTTGTTATCTTTTCTTGTTGATGTCGCGCAGAGATGGCAGCATTATTCGAGCCATCAATGATGTTAATTGCACGCATCTGATCTCCTATTCTTCGTATTGCTGATGCTTAACCCTGGAAGGTGGACATGAACTTGGCAACAATGTCCTTCAGCTTGGCATCGGACGCCTCCGAGATAGCACCGTCCTTGGCGATGGTGTCGAGCAGAGCCTGCTCGGAGGTCTTGATGTGCTGCAAGAACTCCTTCTCGAACTTGGTGATCTTGGCGGGATCCATCTTGTCCAGATGACCGCGCACACCGCAGTAGATGACGGCGACCTGGGAGATTTGATAAAGCATTAGAGGTTGGGTTCTACACAGGAATCGCGATATCCGCTTTGTCACTACGGATATCAGTCATTAGCTAGGTCAGCCCTGGCATACGCACCTGATCCTCAATGGCCATGGGCACGTACTGACCCTGCTTGAGCAGCTCAGTGAGGCGCACACCACGGTTCAGCAGCTGCTGGGTGGCGGCATCCAGATCGGAACCGAACTGGGCGAAGGCGGCGACCTCACGGTACTGGGCCAACTCCAGCTTCATGGAACCGGCCACCTGCTTCATGGCCTTGGTCTGGGCAGCGGAACCCACACGGGACACGGACAGACCGACGTTGATGGCAGGGCGGATACCCTTGTAGAACAACTCGGTCTCCAAGAAGATCTGTCCATCGGTAATCGAGATGACGTTGGTTGGAATGTAGGCGGACACATCGCCAGCCTGGGTCTCGATCACGGGCAGGGCAGTCAGGGAGCCACCTCCCATGGCAGGGGACATCTTGGCGGCACGCTCAAGCAGACGCGAATGCAGGTAGAACACATCACCGGGGTAGGCCTCACGACCAGGGGGACGACGCAGCAGCAGGGACATCTGACGGTAGGCCACAGCCTGCTTGGACAAATCATCGTAGATGATCAGGGCGTGCTTGCCCTTGTCGCGGAAGTACTCTCCCATGGCGCATCCGGAGTAGGGGGCCAAGTACTGCAGGGGAGCAGCGTCGGAGGCGGTGGCAGACACGATCACGGAGTAGCCCATGGCGCCGGAGTCGGTCAGACGCTTCACAATCTGGGCGACGGTGGATCGCTTCTGGCCAATGGCGACGTAGATGCAGTACAGCTTCTTGGACTCATCCTGGGCCTCGTTGAAGCGCTTCTGGTTGATGATGGTGTCGATGGCCAGAGCAGTCTTACTGCGGATTAAATACAAAATTGGTACGTTAGATCCGGCTTGTTACTGGGAACTGAGAAATGTTTTAATGTTGTTTGGGCATCTCTAAAATCTTACCCAGTCTGACGATCGCCAATGATCAGCTCACGCTGTCCACGACCGATGGGCACCAGGGAGTCGACGGCCTTGATACCGGTCTGCATGGGCTCGCGCACGGACACACGGGGGATGATGCCGGGGGCCTTGATTCCCACACGGAAACGGTCCTTGGTGTTGATGGCGCCCTTGCCGTCAATGGCATTTCCCAGGGCATCGACGACGCGACCCAGCAGCTCATCACCGACGGGCACATCCACGATGGCACCGGTACGCTTGACGATATCGCCCTGCTTGATCAGCTTGTCGTTACCGAACACCACAACACCGACGTTGTCGGGCTCCAAGTTGAGGGCCATGCCCTTCAGGCCGGAGGAGAATTCCACCATCTCATCGGCCTGGATGTTGTTCAGACCGTAGACACGAGCGATACCGTCACCGATGCTCAGCACGCGGCCGGTTTCCTCCAGATCCGCCTTGGGGGCGACGCCCAGGATGCGCTCCTCCAGGATGTTGGAGATCTCGGCGCTACGCTGCGTGCTGGCCACATGGAACTTGCGGGCAGCAAGACTGGCGGCGGGATAGGCGGCTTTGCAGGCGACCTGCAAGAGAGTAGGTTAATCGATATGATTATGCGAGATTATGTAAGGTGTATGTATGTCCATGTCGTTGGATAACCGCAGGGTACGATCGTTTAAATACTCCTCTCCGGTACTTGCTAGCTCGTTAATAAAAAAAAAACAACTGCTTACAGGGTATCTGGATATCGGCACTTCCCCTATTTGTATTCTCTTCCATTTCCACCACTTGCTTGACAGCCGCACCTAACCTCAAACTTTTTGGGGACCGCATCTCCACCACCTCACAATTATGTAATTCGAGCACAAAAACAAAGACATTAGAGCGTTCTTTGCAAACTTTTACTGGCAAAATAACCAAAAAACTCACATTTGCCTGGCCAATTCTCGATTCGCACTGATTATGTAACCCACAATTTCAGCGGCCGCCTTGCAATTTGCCGCATTGCGTAACACTACATTCTTGTTGGAAATGGGTGAAAATCCCACTCGAATACTTGCTATGCATCCAAAAAGTCTGTATCCATTCTTTGATCGATCTTCAAAGCACCCGATGCACTAATTTTCCGCAAAGTACCCCATCGATTCGATTACATATGACACTTTTTCGCCAACTCTTCGTCGGGCGATTTAAATGCTGGAATTCGGTGCAGTACCTGGTTGGCAGCCTTGGGCAGGTTACGGGCGACCGAGGACGCCAGGCGTACGGAAATCATCGACATTTTGAATGCTGTTTAACTGTTCGCCGCAGAAGTAATTGTACAATTCCTTAGCCAACTCCTCTCCACACTCGTAGTACTTTTCACAAGATGGTCGCTGGCTAGACGTTCGGTGAGGCAGTGCTGGGAAACGGGCGAAGTGCTGGCGATTGCGCGGTACGGGCACACTGAGCACGGGTATGGTCACTCCACCCTCAGTGGTGGCAGTTTGGGCGATATAATATAATTTACCAAATTATTTAATTTCATTAATACTCAAAGTTAAATTGAAACGTAAAATTACTTTATAATTTATGTTATATCTAACATATTTATCAATTTTTTAAAAAATTTCTTTTCTCTTAAAATATGTGGTCACGTTTTTGTAACACGGGCACCCTTGGTGGTGACATTAAGCAAGCGATGGTTAATGGTGTGCTCAAATTTACTAAAAATTGTTAGAAATTCGTATACCCAATTATTTGTTACATTCAAAATAATTTGATAGTATCAACAGTATTAGGTCAGATGCTAATTATACGTGTTCATTAAAGTTGCATTAACTTAACCACATTTATTTGAAAACGCCGAAATAAGTATGCTAAAAACGCTGTGCCCTAATTTATTGCAAGGCCTAAAAGAATGCTATGGTATATGCCATTAATAGGGCGACAGAGGAACTGCTTATTTACCTCTTCAGATTTACGAAATCTTGGCTTTACTGTTTATCGGAACGCGTTCGAAATATGGCACCTCTGGATGGCCGAGTTATTAAAACGGTCTGTTCATTTTGGAGACTTTCAAGCATTTCATTGTTGCGCCGCCTGGCTCTCTCGCTTGCTCTCAGTGGCCGGACGGTTTTCCTGGTGTGGAAGATGGGGATCCGGGGGGCTGGAAAGCGCCCGCACGAGAGCTTGAACGCGGAGAGCGAGACAAAGAGCGGAGACCTAGAGAGCGCGGAGAAAGTCTACACGCCGCCGACGAGGAAAAGAGGAATCAGAGGAAGCTGTGCGCGCGAGCAAACGAAAGCAAAATGGACCTTTTTCCTTTTTTTAGTATTAAAGCGTGAAAGCATCCAGCCGCTCGCTCACGCAGCTTCACTTCGTCGCTTCAGTCTGAGCTTGTGCGGTACTGTGAACACAACGCGGCGGTATAGCGATACAACGGTACGGTATAACGGTACATAACAGTACTGCGGGTGAAAGCTGGGCGCAAGGTGCCAAATGTAGGGGAAAATTGCATGTGCCATTAATGTGAGGATATTTGTGTGAGGATAAAACCACTGGATTTTCACCATCTCTCCCCCGAAAGTCCAGAAAGCTGCCTTCTGGGGGCCAGAAAAAATCTTGAAATTTCTGGCCACGTGTTATCCGGTGTTCCGTTTCATTTTACTTAATTTTTTGAAATCAACATTTATTATGCAAATTATCGCAACAACAAAGAAGTGGACGTCCAATCTCCAAAAAACACATAAAAAAGAGGCACGAAAACTCTGAAACTGGAAGAGATACTCGGTTTTCTTTTTTTATATTTGGATGCTGCTCCTGCTGCTGCACACAGACAATGACAGAAATTTGTCATCACACACACACACATATAAGAACCGCACGCACGGAGAGCGTAGAACAAAGGCAACGGGAAAAAGATAAATAAGCTTAGGAGCAGGGAGTGCGAGCGGGAGAGGAAGTGTGGAAGCAGGGGCGTCCTCCGCCCCACTCACTCACGCACTTGACTGAACATTAAACTCTCTAGTTTTTTGTGCAAAGATGGAGATTTCGGACCGTTATCCTCGCCGGCAGCCGCATATCGTCGGCATCTACGTGCTCCATCTACACACACAGCTGTAAAATCCGCATTCGCAGTCGCATCCGCCATTCGCCATCCGCCATCCGCAATTTTTGACAGCTGTCAGCTTGAAAGAACGCGTGTGTGCGTGTGTGCTGGCACAGTTATTTCCACTTGGCGGCAAGGTCAGCGCGACATGCAAATTGAAAAGCGCCGCTCGGGCAAAAACAAAGGCCATAGAATGCCCACCACCAACAACAACGACATCAGCTACGGGAGGAAAAACAACAACAACAACAACAGCAGCAACAATAGCAACAACAGCAAGAACAACATCATCTAACGAAAATGTTTGAGAAATATGTCGCCACATATGTGCGCGCGTGTGAGCAAGTGAAATTAAAATTCCCGCATGCCTAATGAATTCGCCCGCTCGTTCGCCGTCCCTCTCCCACGACAACCGTTATGCGTGTGTGTGCCAGTGTGTGTGTGCGTGTGTGTCGCTGACTTCGGAATGACAACAAAAGCAACAACAACATTAGCAGCTACAACTAAAACAATGGCTTGCTAAGCTGTCTGAGTGAGTGAAAAAAAGAATAGAAGAAGGAGAGCCAAAGAGATAGAGAGAGAAGGAGACCGAGAGAACGACCAGGAGAGAGAAAGAGAGCGAAAGAGAAAGATAGGTGAAGGAAGGACGAAAGCAAAAGTGAAATTTGCAGCAAAGAAAGGTGAGTGAAGAGTAGGCAAGGCCCAAAAGGTATGCTACAAATTGCAATTTCCGCTGGTTAATGGCAGTATCAATATCTATTGTCTGTTTTACATATTTGTTTGCCATTCCCCACCCCAACTTATCTGATAGACTCATTTTTCCTATCACAAATGAATATGGATAACTAATTAAAAGCTAACTACAACACCATAGAAGTGAACATATATTAACTATATGTATGTCCGTAGTAACTGCTTTAGATTAAAATAACTTCTCTCAATGTTGGACTAAAACAATATAAATTTGTTTGTACTTGTGATATTAAATTGAGGATTTGGCAATTATATAACTTTGCAAAATAACCCAATTCACATAATTGCGGCCTCTCGTTTTCCCCACCTCTATCTGCCATCAACTGTTTTCCCATTCATCAAAACCAAATGTTGCTAGTGCAAATCCACAAACAACACATACTCACATTTATGTAAATTTGCCCAAATCAAATTGCAATTGCGGCTGCAGCACAAACACACTTGCAAAAGTTTAATAATATGAATAAATGGAAAATGGTAAAGCATACGAGTATTTGAGGTATGATTTAGTTTGTACACTATCTGCGTTCTGGTAAATTAATGCTGTTTGAGCTATCTTGTTGACAAACTTAAAAATATTTAGGCCGTAGATTAGAGCTGTACCCGCTAAATGACGTTTTCTTAGGTAAAGTTGTCTACAAGTATGCAGTAGTGATATCTAATGGCTCTTCTGTTTGATTGACCTTTGAACCGCTGAGTCCAATTTGCTGCCAAATTGATGACCAATTTTGTTGATATTTCTCGCTTGCTCACGTCTTAGAATTGGTCGAATACAAGTTATGGTCTTATGGTTTTAAAACTCAGTGAATTCACAATATATAGAAATAAAGTCATTACCATCTGGGGCTGAGGGTCTCCCCCAAAAGGAAAACCAATTAAAATTATTTGTGGCGTCAAAGGCAAATGGCATAGAATGCGGCGAGGCGAGGCAAAATGGAAACGAAACGAAAGGAAACGAAAGGAACAGGACAGAGCATAGCAGCACAGAAATAAAATGAAATGAAATGAAATGGAGAGATGTGAATGGGCCCTCAGCTTCCTCGTAAATAATGCGGGCATTAGAAGTCTCTGGTAGGCCCCACCACCCACTATTCCAGCCCCAAAAAAAACCCATCCTCCAACCAGTTTCAGTTTTTGAGCCAACTTCATGTCGGTCCATTGCAGCGGGGCATAAAAATGTTAATTTATGTTCGCTGCGCCTCAGTTTGCATACTTTTTTTAATGCCACTGGTGCTCCTTTTCGTTTTGGGGAACATTTTCGTTGAACACATAAAAAAGATTTCTGTGCTCATCGTATTTTTTTTTTGCATTTTTTTCCCTAATTTTTTGTTTGCTGTTTTCGGCAGATAAACTGTTTTTGTGCTGTTGCCACTGCTGCTTTGAATGAAACGTGACCGTGCCCCGAAAAATGCGAAACAGTTGCCAGTTGGCCGGTTTTTCACATTTCGCCCAATTCATATCCAGAGCCAGTTCCAGAGCGCTGTATGGAGATGAATTTCACTGCAGCACAATTAACAAGCTGGCATTAATGTGGAAAAAGCAAAAAAGGATTCCGCCGATTTCATACGATTCTCGGGGGGAAGATTGCAAGGCATGCGTGCGTGAACATTTAATTAAAGCGACTTATTAAGTATGTAAATTTCCGCAAATGATTAATTTGCATATTTATGAGACTAAAATGAGCAGGATAGGGTGTGTGTCTGACAACTAAAACAAAGCCAAGAGCACAGGACAGCACTGAACAGAACAGAACAAAACAGAACAGAACAGAACAGAACAGAACAGAAGACGTCGGCAACTGTCAATAATAATCAGGCAGGATCTTGAAGGGGAGCGAAATGATGGGGGTTGGGATGGTATGGGAAGGTATGGGATGGGATGGGATGCGACGGGCAAAACAACGACGGCTGTAATAACAATTTCAAATTGAAATTATGAATTTAACATGACAGCCAACGATGCGCGCAAGTTTTATGGCTTTTAACTGCAGCTTAAGGAGTTTACTTACGCTGGCTAATTATGCGTAAGACGAAACGCGACAAACGTCAAGAAAAGCTTCATTTCAGGGGGGAATTCTCGTTGGAGATTGCTTTGTAACGCTGCCGAGAATCAGGCAATTAATTCCACAGCTCCTAGCTTTAAAGAAAATTGTAAAATCAATAATTTGATCGGGTTACAAAACTGGAAGCAATTAATTATGGCACTTTAGAGCACCTGCACTAAAGTGCTTTCAAATTGATTTTTGTCAACTTTTTTTTGCAAAGTTATCAATCACCTGTGGGGACAGTTTTAGTTTTTCAACCCGTGTACTTTGCTATTTCGGCCCCAACCTCTCCGCTGACCACTAATTAATCATAGAGCAATGGCAACGCACTTGTGCTACACACCGCGTCGTATTCCAATTAAGTGCATTTCTTCGTTTTCACCTGGGTATTTGCACGTGTACACTGAGCAAAGGGCTTAGTGCTAAACTGACAACTTTCAAAAATGGATCGATAATCAACTCTGTGTTCGATCTCGAAATTTGGTTGAGAAAAAGTAACGATATCAATGAAAATTTTCAAAAATAATTATCTGTAGACGAAACGAATTTGGCCAAACTCGAGCGCAATTTTTTCAGTGTCGGAGTGAGCTGCGACGTGCTCCAATTAGCGTGGATGGCCACGTTGGAGCCTTCTCAGCATCTCCATCTCTCCCATCAGCCACTGAAAAGCAGGTTCTCAACGCCCTGGCCCTTTCGCCCAGTTTGCCCACGTCTGTGCCAAAAATTGCGGACCCGTGAAATACACACACAAAAACACACGCACACACACACACAACACACACACACCTGAAAGCGTTGCCGCTTTTCGTGTCAATCAATGGCTATAAGGAAAACAGCAACAACTGGCTCTTTTTGATGCTCCTGTTGGCCTCTAATTCTTATTGGACGTCACACTCGACAGCATTTCACATTTTCCTATAGCAGTTTTTCCCCATTTTCGCACTTTAAGCCTCTTACGCAACCTTTCACTCTGTCTGTCTGCCTGTTTATGTGTGTGTGTGTGTGGGTGTGGGGCTGCCTAATTAAAATTCGCCCAACCTCATTTTCCGGTTGCCCTCCATCGGCCCCGTCATCATTCTGCAATTCTGTGAAAGTCAACAATTTTTAATTTGCCAAACAAACTGTATATAATTAATTAAAGTTTAACGTGGGCGTGACAAATGAAAAAGTAGCCTTATAAGTGCCCAAGTGGCTCGCAATCTCGCAACCTTGCTACCAGGCTCCCACCATCTTTCAACAATGCTCCCGTTCTGTTGTAACCCGCTTTTGCATTCTCATTTGGTTTTAATATGCAAAGTCAACAACATTCTGTGTCAGCCAAAGGGCAAAATCAACACAACTGCGCTGCACAAGGAGTGCCACACAAGGAAGGCAGTTGGGGCTGGACGAACCAGAATCGGTTGACTGCCCAGTGGCCGCATTAGCCAAAGGAGACGAAACGAGGCTCCGGAGGACGGATGTCAACTGGCCAACTGACCACTCTAATGGACCATTCTCGGTGTGTGCACTCAGCGAAACAATTCCACATGGTATCCACTTCTATTTATATGCATATGCATATGTAGCTACATATATGGTATGCATCGTGGAAATCCTTTTCATTGGATTGAAAATCGATGTGTTTTTCATCTTCTTTATGTGGTGGCGGTATGGGTGATTTTATTTGATGATTTAGTTAACGTCCACAAGAATCTCATTTTTATCTCTTTGACTGAAAAGAAACAAATCTGACGCATGCAATGGTTAGATACAATTTCTGGCAGCTTATAACACTAAATGATACAAACATAATATAAATAATTCTCTGTGTGCGTGGGTGTGTGTAGATCGACTAGAAACATGTGTGAAGGAATGTGGTAAGATGCAATTGGCTAATAATAGATGCCAGCAGTAACTTTCAAGTTGCGTTGACAAGTGAATTTTCGCACAATACGTTTAGGTGAAAATTGGGATGAGCAGATTCCTCCAGCATTCCTGGTATTCGCTTCTATATAATCAAACATAGGTTTTAGATTTAATTATTATTCTTTTTGTAGCTTGCATTTTCATGGCTCTTGCAAGTGTACTAAAGTAATTAAAAATGCTTTAAATAAAACGCCATTCTGATTTATTCTGATGATAAGGTAAGGTAAAAGCGATGTTGAAGCTGCAGAAAACGGGCTTAAAGGTTAAACTGAACTAAATTGAATTTGGTGAGCTCTTGACTGATTGTGTCTTGCACTTAACTAGAAATATTGATGTTTATTTTGTCAGTTCAACCTGCAGTTGCTCGCTAGTTGAGCCCAATATTAATGAAGCAGTGCCAAGTCACTTCTGAGATCCTTGAGATAGCAACGTGCATTTCGTTAACGCCTTTTCCTGCTCAATTGCTCTGAATTGAAAATTGAATTTACCGCAATATTTGCTTAATCTCGCATCCAAACTCACTTACGAAAATGGCAAATCCAATTGCCTATGAGTGTGGCTGTGTGTGCATCTGTTGGGTGGCCATAACGTACGCGTATGCGTTTGGTTTTGTGTTCGTGCCATTGACAGTTTGTCGTCAATCAGTTGGCGTTGTCATGGTTGTTGTTGCCTTTTTGCTGGTGAGTCCCCAGCGATGCACCCACAAATGTGAGTGTGTGAGTGCATGAGTGTGTAATCGCATCAGTATCTGTATCTGTGTCTGTGCCTGTATCTGTATCTGTGCCTGTGTCTGTATCTTCGACTGCATTATGACAAAGACAATATGTAAATATGCGTTTAATTGGTTTGTAATTATTATTGCTGCGGCTGTTGTTCTGTCGCTGTTGATTTCGAGTGGTTGTAGGTGTGTCAACCGCCTCAATGTTTGTTTTATAATTTGCGCATTAATTGCACTTAGCTAAATGCGGCCAGATTCGC